TTCCCAGGATTATTTCTAATTGGCTCTGTCATATAGTAGTCGCAAACTGCCTTAAAACAGTAATCAGTTTGAAACCAGTTGAGCAAGCCTATGACAGGAAGTTGTTAATAATATGCTGTGAAATTTATCTGTGAAATACTGAGCTGGACTACTTTTTTTAAAAGCAGACTTGGAAGTAAGCGGTCTTTAAGATGCAAATAGACCAGCATCAAGAAAGTCATCATCACCTTTGCAATCCCCAAACCTTACCAGAGCTTCCAACAGACCCTTATGCGCCCTTTGGCTTATAAAATCAAATTGTTTTGACATGTGGGCCCGTACCCTTCAGTGTCACTAAAGTACAGCCCAAGGATTACGGTGCACACCAGGATGCCTGGGCCCTAGTCCTGTGCTCGTGCCTACCCAGCAGCAAGACCGCTGGTGGCCTCCCAGGATGATTGACCATCACCTAAAGCTAGGAGCAGGGTAGTTCCTTCTATTTCTGCCTTCCTTCCCCTCTTCCAAGAGACCCTCCTCTCTCCTAGCCTCATCCCAGGGCTGAAGAGCCGGACCTGAGCCAGGCGAGGTGGATTTAGCCCGGTTAGAGTTAAGATGGTATCATTAGCTGCGCACAGCGTGACTTCCCGCTAATCCTCTCTGCAACTTACAACAAGTTTAAATGTCCATGCATGATGTTATTAACTGGCTTTAGTAAGTGCTTAAGACCCAGCTCTCTTTTTAAAGTAATCTCTGAACAAGTTCTACTGTATCCACCCAACAAGGAGATTAATATTTCCAGCAAATCTGATGGGAGGAAGATGCGCCCTGCGCTCTTTAATGGGCAACAGGGGAAGAGGTAGAGGTTGCTCCTGGAAGGGCCCAGAACGGTGAGCGCTACAACCCAGCTCCCAGCACCCTCCACAACACCCCCAATCAAAAGCCTCCCCTCGTGGGGGGGGGGGGGGGGTGAGGGGGAGGATTCTTCCAGTTAGCAGCGTTCCACTAGGTTAAAAAAAAAAAATGTGCAAGTGGAGAGAGAGGGGCACCATCTTTATCAAGGATACTAATCATACACAGGGAAAACGCGACTGGGCAGAACTAGAGAAACTCAGAGGAAAGCCCCTTAACCACAGTTGCCTGCCAGGCTGAGGAAGGGGCTCTGTGGCAGGGTATGGCCGCGGGGAGATGCCTGCTAGTACCCGACGTCCAGTGGTGACTAAACCGCGAAGCCACCCCATTCAGGAACCCGACTCTGGGATTCCCAAGCAAAGGCAGACCCAAGCTGGCTCGGAAGCAGGGACGAGGTCTATGGTGAGGGGCCCAGGAACAGGTAGGTAGATAGGTAGGTAGGTAGGTAAGAAGGTAAATAAATAAATAAATAAATAAATTGAATTTTTAAAAAATACAGAACAGCCTTCGCAGACGCAACCGAGCGTGCCTGGCAAAGGAGGGGCTGACAGTCCGATTCGGCCGCGTCCTGTAGCGCGGCGCTGGAGTCCAGCACCCTCCCAGCCGCGGGCAACCGGCGCGGGAACTTAAGCTCGCGCGAACTTGAGAAGCCTCCCAACCCGCCGCCCGGCCGCAGCGCGTCCCCAGCCTCCCAGCCGCGCTCCAGCTCCGGGAGCGCGCGCGCCGGCGCACCAGCTCCGGCAGCTCGGGCAGTTCGTCTCCCGGGAAACACCAATCAGACGCCGACTTTCCTGCGCGAGTCGCGAGCAGCCCCAGCTGCTAGAAGACTTGGGCTGTTGGCGGTCGCCCGGAGGCGTCGTGCTGCCCAGCGGCGCACCGGCAGCCTTCGCCGCTGCCTCTGCCTAGCCTAGCTGCTCCTGCTGCCACTCACAGAATTGGCTGTCTCCTCTCTACACCGCCCACGCCAAGCACCTTGAGAGGCGACTGCTAAGCTTGGCTATTTTTAGATCCCTAGAATGCGATGTGCCAGCGCTAAGCTAAAACCGAGTCAAACACCAAGCACAGTGATGTGCTTCTCTTTGAACAAACATGGCTCAGAACTCCATATTTCCATGAATAAAGTCGATTATCTGCACTTTTAAAGCTCTACCTCCTGTGGTCTGTCAGTTGGTTGCAAAGCGGAAAGCCACATGCTTCTACCTCAAAGATGGTCATCACCTTTCTAAGGGAGTGCACTAACTCCCTGGGCCCTGATTGAGGGAAGGCAGATATTCCTTAGAAGCACTCGTAACTATATACTTTTCATTTTCATTTATCATCTTAGAATTAATTCCACAATAAAGTTGAATGATTCCCAGGAGGAGTGAAATGGGTTATCAAATAGGAATGGAATTGTCTACTGATTTCTGTATTAGCTTGTTTAACTTGTGCTAAGAAACTGAGAAACAGGAAACAGGATAACAAAGCCATCCATTAAAATCCAGAGACACTGAAGAACTACTGCCTTACATGCCCCCATTGCTGTAGAACCTGTTTAAATATCTCAAGTACTAATGTTGAAACAATTGGCCCACGTATTACAAATACCTTTTAATCAATAACTTTGGTTCTAAATTAGTTCTTGTTCTTAAGGAACACCTTGCCCTGTGTCGCCCATCTCACCAACAACAACACGCACCCATCCCAATGCAATATATGGTGTTAGCAAATTAGGGAAAGATAAGTCACAAAAAGGCAAATTTGGAAAAGGTTATCAATATTCTTATGCCACAAAGATATCCCCAGAAGTGTATAGCTTCATAGGAGGCAGGGGGACCTAGATAATAGTTAACACACTCTCATTTTCTAGACACACTGGAAAATAAAATCTTTGGCATCATGTCTCCATTTCAAAAAGTCAAAATTCTTAAAATGCTAAAATATCCTGAAGTGTTTACATGTAGCCTATGAATAGGATAATGTTTCTGAATTTCAAATGGACTCTTCCTAATGTCTTATTATTTATAAACATTTCTTAATTTCATCAAGTGACACAAAATCAAATAGAATTTCATATATTTCCAAATGAGAGAAACTTTTACTTTTTAAAATAAACACAGAGTACTAGTAATAGAAAATTTAGTGCTTAAGAATAAAGAAAAGCAACTTTGGGGAAATAGTTCATTTTGAATGTAAAAAATACATTTCTCTCATTACTGTGCATAATAATGGAAACTTCAGTAGGGGAGAGGTATTGGTTAAGATAGCCATTCACATTTTGCAAAGATATTACAGAAGTTTTCCTATTTCTTTTTTTAAAATCTCTATCCAATTTCCATTTTGTTGTTCTTTTGAATTTTTTGTATGACTGTGTTTATGTTATTTCCAATTCAAGTGTTGAGTGACTTTTCATTGTTAATTTTCTAGTAGGACAAGAAAAATAAGTTGGTTATATCTTTATATTTAGTTTTAAAGGCATCATTTTATCAGCCTATTTCTAAGAATTTCATGAAAAGATTCTAGATGTCAAAACCTGCAGTTAACGTTCTTGTTTAGAAATACACAAAATAATACCTTTGACGTTGGCAACTTAGATGTATTATTCAGCAAAACAGCAATTACTCATTGTTTTGCACTTACATGTTAAGAACTATGCGACACTTAGTGACACAATAACAAAATTGCAAAGTCAATTATATTTAAAATAGACATCCTAATAAAACATACACAATCAACTCCTTTTATTCTTTCTGAACTGCTTTGTTTCCTTTTTCTGACTGTTTACAGTCAAATAGATTGTGTGAACATTAACCCTAAGGATAACTGATTTACACACACACACACACACACACGCACATACACACAAGATGGAGGGAGGGGTATAACATAAAGGGGAAGCATATTTCTAAGGGCACTAGAATCTACCTTGGGAGGTGCCAGAACCATCTTGTAAATTTTTGGAAATGTATGTCTATGGTGTTCTTTTACAATGTCAATCACAGTGGCAAACTTTGAAAGAGCAGTGTGCCAAAATTTAAAGCAAAATTAAAACTAGATTTACACTAACAATTCTAAACAGAACTAGCAGTAAAACCCAAGTGGGGTCTGTTGATATCTAATAAGAATGTTTAAAGGTAGAAATAGATATTTGTTTAGCATTTTTGTAACTTGAACTTCCAAGTAATGAATTCCACTCTTCAACTCAGCCTGCAGCCTGAATTGAAGTTCCCATCAGAAAATTAAAATGTTTGTCTAGATAAAATAACTTCTTAATGAACTCTCTTATTTCTTTTCCTTTCTTTTGGTATTTTCTGCAATGTAGCCCCTCGCAATGATATTAGTTCTAGTGTGGGAAAATATTATAATTGAGATCTGGTAAGTTATTTGCAGACTTCAAGTTTTTCTTTACACTGTGCTGACATTTAGTACAGCCCTGGTGAGGAAAACAATACTACCATTCATAGCTCTAGACGTAGATTTCAATCGACTTAAGCGGGCACAATGAAACTTGGTCATTCACTGGTTACCCATATTGTGTTCTCAAATTTTCTCTCAGCAAAAGTATAATGACTCAGTATTGTATGGTTGCATAGACAAGGGCTCGGAACAAGAGACACTAGTTTTGTCTGACGGTGTGAGAAAGTCGTGAAGGGATCTTTTCTTCCAGATGGTGTTAAATTCAGCTGCCTTTTTAACATTGGCCTTGCACAGCAATCTGCTGCTCCCCTTTCACAAAGACTATGCTTGGTTCCCACTAGTTAACATGCATACTCACGCAACCTGCAACTTCACTCCAACTGTTTTACAATGCAGTGGTATGCTAAATAAACTTGATCCGGTTTCTGCCAATGTTAAAACTAGCTTTCAAAGAACTACTTAACTGATATTTACACTTCTTTTGACTTAAATGTACATGCCTTTGGAATATTTCAGATTTCAAAGAAATATCACCTTATTATAAGGTCATTGTAGAGATTATCTCAGACATCCTTCAGACCCATGCTCAGATACAGTACCTCTCTTCAACACACACAAATAAAACAAAATGTCAGAAGTTTGATGTGTAATAGAAAAAAGAAAAATTGGGACATGTTGCAGCAAGAGCAGTGGAACAGCAAAAAATAAAATGAAAATAACACTGAAATGTATTTTTATTGATCGATAAGTTATGTAACATTAGTATGATACAAAGCAAGTTTGATATGACAATGGCAAACACATAATTATAATATTGTTTATTTTCCTTAGATGTTATATTTAACATATTTACATAAAAGACCAAGATGTAGGCAAAAGCGTCAGTAATTTGACTCCATTGAGTGCTTTCAGTAAACAATAGGTTTCCCCGCAAACATCTTATTGCCTTAATTGAACCTCCTTGAGAAAGAAAACCACACACTTTGTAATGTAAATGTTAATTGTAGTAGACAATGGTTCTAGGTAAATAGCACCCCTGGACATGAAGTAAATGAAAGGAATACAGGCACTTAACAATGAAAGGTTGTTTGCACAAACAGTGCTTCAGATGTAAATAAACAAGGGTCTTCTCAACGGTCACTATGGTAGTAAAACTCTGGCACGTGTTCAGCAGCCAAATTGAGAATTTATGTTATTAAAGTCTCTCAGAGTTTCTAAAGGAAACTAACAGTGGTTTTACAGGGTTTTACAGTATGAAGTCCTACATGGAATTGAAGCTACAAAGGAAAATGTACTGCCTTTGAAGAAAAATTATATATTTAAAAGTGTCAGTAATCTAGGTCACGTGGAAGATAACAGGCTATTTTGGGCATCTTATTGTAATGGTTGTGTTTATGTGTAAATGCCTACACAAATGTTCGCTTGGTGACATGTGGCAAAATGTAAGAAATTTAATGAAAAGACCACAATGAGGACTTCTAAAATCCACAAAGTTTATAAAGCTAAGAATAGTTATTTTTAAATTAAGATTTAAAATGCCTGGTTAGAATGCATCTACCTGGGATTATTCCAAAACAACCTTTTATCACATTGTTATTGTAATCAACTTTTCTATAGGCTGATGACTTCTTGGTTTGACTTTCAATGTGTATTTAATTAGCACAATCAGGCCAAATTCCTAGGTGTGTCATCTTAAGAGGTGAACAACCTGATGAAGCCATAATAATGACTGTTTATAGAGATATATAGTAAAAAAAAAAAAAAAAATACAACCCAGCCAAAACAAAAGCCAAAAGTGTGGTCACAAGGCCATAAGTAGAGACTGAGGATTTCACAGGAGGGGCAGGCAGTAATGGGACTTTCTTGAAATCACTTTCCACTAGCTTTCCTTAAATACTGAAAATCTCAACCAAAAAAGAAAGCCAAACTTGATCAGGGCCAAATTAAACAGCGGTTAAAAATTAACAGAAACAGACAGTATGCAGCAGCTACAGACCAGACCAGTTGGCGTTGCCATTTGGGAGGCTGCAGATGGCTGTGGGTGGGAAATGCCTTTACTTTCTTAAGCGATGGAGATGAGTATGGTGTGTGCACTTGATGTTTTTTTCATACCCCTACCCCCCAACAGGGCTGTCTGTCATAGGCTGCCGGCCCGCTTTACCACTTGCCCCCGAGCGTGGGAATCGGAGCGTCCTGCCGTTCACATCTCCTGCATTCCGTTTAGCGGAATCAATTAGGCAGGACAGACCCTCAGATTCCCCACCCCCTTTCCATTTTTGTCAGGTCTATATACGTCCTAATTATTTCAGTTTGGGATGCCAGAGCTGTTTCCTGGATAGACCTGATCATCCTTAAACAAAAAGAGAGGAGGCGCACACGTGGGTTGTGGCGTAAATGTCACTTTCATTTCCAATGCTAGGCTCAGAGTAAGACAGAACATTTTTTTAACACTTTGACAAGAGGGGAGGCGATCTCGTCTCCATCATGTCTTTCTGCTTCAGTAGCTTCCTCAAGGAAACCCTCTTGGAACAGAGAAGCATCTGTCCTTGTATTTTGAATAGAAGAATAAAAATCAGCCTTTGTTTTTGTTTTTCTTCATTTTTTCCCGGCTAGTTCTAAGTCTTCAATAGATATAAATTATTAACCTCTCAGTATAAACTTGTCTTAAAGTCTAATTTTATAGAATTTGACATACAGCCCAAATACATTTAAAGTAGTTTCCAAGCACAATCTTCAAATTTTGGGGGGAGGAGCCTCAGAAGGGAACTGCCCAAATCTACATAATTATGGAATCATTTTAAAACTAGGTCTCAGACATCTCTACGATCTCTTTCTAAGAAAAAAGTTCCTCTTATATAAACTTTTGCCTTAAATAGAACAAAGTGTACATGCATCTTTACTCATTAGTACTATACAATTCTCCTTTGCAGCTGTAACAACCCCTTTCAAAACCTGACACGTTAGTATCTCAGCATATATGTGTCAATTTCCTCTCATCCCACCTTTCATGATAAGGAAAAACAAAAACAAAAACAAAGTTAGATTCAATAAGTATTCCTGACCTTTCTGGTTTTTACTGTCTCTTGGTTGTAGTCTTTCATCTCACACGCTCCCCGGCGATCTTGAAGGAGTTTTTACTTTCGGTTATCTAGCTTTATGAAGACCAATACACTCATACAGCTAGATAACCAAAGATAACAACTCGCTTCCCTCACATGCCTCTGTCTTCCTCTCGCCAGACTCCAGATCCCGGTTCTCTCCAGCAGTACTGAAGGGTAGTCGTCCAGGATACTTGCCGTGCCCAAGATTCCTCCTTTGATGTAAATATGACCTGGTTTCAGTTTGTGTATGTGCGGCTAAAACATCCAAATAAGATCTGTTGCCTTCAGAGTTTATTCCGAACTTTTTTCCCCTTCCAGCAAGTAATCTCCGGCAGCGTCAGCAAACAATTCATCTATTAATATCAGAAAATAAAACCAGCTATTAAGGCGCAGCAAGCTGTTGGGAGTGAGCAGCGGCATCCATCCCTTCACAGGCCTCTATTTGCATTGTAAATCGCTTCATTCTCACGCAAGACTCTTTGGCCTTCCTCTATAGAGATGTATAAAGCCAACGGCAATTTCCAGCGCAGGTTAAGGAGGAAGGAAAAAAAATCCCATTCTATAGAAGTGACAGCTGATTCAAGGATCTGCTCCCGATCCTTTTGGGTTAGGCATCGTGAGTTTTTACCAAGCGGTGGCAGCTTGATTGCACATATCTTGTATGTTAGTGTTTTAGGGGGAAGATCCTCGATTTCACAGGGCTTCTAGGCTGGGGAGGAGAAGATGCCGTCTTGCTGGTGTGCTGCTGCCCCGGTCTGAAAGAAGGAGAAAAGGGCCATCATTGGAGGGGCTTTCATTGCCAAATCGTTGACCAGCCCGGCAAGGTCAAAGGTTCGAGACCGCGGGAGACCAAGGTAATGATGATGTCATGAGAAATCTCAAGTACATGGTTATTGATATGCATCAGTGATCAGCCAACTGCCCCACGCCTGCTGCCAGAGTAGTGGCAGCGGCGGCGGCGGCGGTGGCGGCGGCAGCAGCAGCAGCAGCAGCATCATTGCAACAAGCCCTATTTTCTCAATCAACATTTCTTCTGCTAGCACTACCGACTGCTCCTGGAAAAGCAACCCGCGGCCTTTTACCTCCTCGGTGCTAGTGTAGATCGTTCTAATATCCAAAGACTGGAAGAAATCTCTCTCTAAGGACAGATAAAAGCATTTCAGGTCTGGGGAACGTCTTTGCCTGCATTTCTCTTCTGGCAGATTGCATAGGCAGACAGATGGAAGGCACTTTGCTATTGCTTAAAGAAGGGCCTCGCTTTCTGGGGCTGGGAATCAGATCAGTATTACGCAGTGAGTCGATGTGTGATTACATTGACAATTTGCTCTGGTGTTGTGTTTTTAATAGCTTCACAGCTCAGTCATGTTTTGTATCTGTGTACCATGGCGATAGGGCATGGTATTTTGTTCTATAAGTTCAAACTGAATTGCTCTAAGCAGGTGGACTTCATCCTGGTTTTTAGAAAATGACTGCATAAATAGGGTATGTGTGCTAAAAGGCAGCACAGGTAAATATTGCAACAATAGTTTCTAATGTTGCACATAGCTCTGCTGTAATAAAAATACTCAACCTTTGTCTATTGTTTTAAGCATCAATTCTCATACAGAAGGACAAATGCACTAGTTTTGCTTTTGCTTTTGAAACTATGAAAAAAGTATTGTTCCCTCTTGGAAAATACAGATAAAACACCTGGATGTTAATAGCATAATTATACCCTCACCTTCTCTTTCTTCACTCCCACCTTTCTCCTACCTAGAGGGGAATTAATTAGCCTCATTCCTTTTCTTAGAACTTTCCAAAGTGTGAATATGATCACTTCAAGGAATTCTTTTCTTCTCTTTCCTTCCTAATGGGTCATCTATGTCTAGCACATCTATAATATGTATATTAGTATATGTACAGAACTATAGTTCTAATATTCAGATATCAATTAATAAAACATCCAAAGTAGTCTACATACGAGGCATATTTATCATGGGTGAACTTTATGGACTGTTTTTCAGAATTCAAGTTAAGTTTGGTGTTGTTACCATTCTTAAAACATATGCTACAAGAATGTAATGAATCTTAATACACATTGCACATATCACTAGCTTATCACAATGCCCTCATTTCTATAGGTTGACTATTTCCCCAATAATTCAAACATTTTCAGAATTAACATTGACTCCTTCATTAATTCAGTAATCTATTCATTTAATACTAGAGTGTGAAGGTGCTTATCCAATTACATACAGAGAACACATGTGTACACCTGTAGAAAAGACTGAAGAGAAGACCAGAATTGTTAGGAAAAGCACCCAATGAAGAGTTTAAACAATAATATCACACCAATTAAAGATATGATTTAATAACACAGATGCCAACTTTCCTTATATTTTTATTTATTTACTTTTATGGTGAGTATTCCAGTGTTGATTATTTAGAAAACACTAAGCTGTGGACATTGCTCATGTATATCATCAAATTATGGATCAAGAGGTAAGACCAGAAATGGCTGCATTAGGTTATATATAAAGCACATGTGCAAACTACAAAATAATTCAGAGAAACACAATCCTGGAATGGCCATTTCATCTCAAATTACTTGGTTACAACATACACTACTGAATAAAAAGTTAACATATCACTGAGGAACAAACCTCTTTTGACATTATGTAAAACCCTAATGAGCTTTGAAGCCTTGGAATATTGAAGAGTATTGTGGCCTTGCATTCCAAGATCCAGAAGTGAAATCATTAGTGATTTGGCATGTATTACATAAAGCAAGCATGTGATCAAGTGTGTTCAATTCCTTAAGTCAAAACCCAATAAATTCCAGCTAATTTTATATTATCTTTTTGCTTTAAGTAAACCTTGGTGGGGGCTGATGGAAGTAGAAGCATATGATGCATGCATGTCTGTATGTGTGTGTGTGCATGTTAACTCCATGTTTGTGTGAATTTGCAAATTATTATGGCTATATTGCAACACTTGACAATTAAATTCATTTTTAGAACCTAAGTACTAATCGTTGTGCCAAAACACAACATTTCACATTCTTCTACGATGATTAGAAGTTACAGAAGATACTGCCTTAAATAGCATCTTCGAGGGCAACATCACATAGTCAAATCAACTTCCTCCAGCACTGGCCTCCAATCCTGGTACACATACCATAGATCCATTATGGGAGGTTCAATAAGTGAAATGAACCAACATCAAGATTATAGACAGCCTGTTCACTAGCCATATAACCAGTTAAATAGTTTACCTTTACATTATTTCTCATGGTAGGGAGAAGTAAAACAAAATACACAGAAGGGCTTAACATTGAGCACTTGATTTTTTCAATTTTGTCAATGTTTATGCCATGGTTTACCATATGTATTTTAAAGGCTGGATGATTATAGAATGGGAAACAACTTAAAACAATGTGCACTCTAAAGATTCCTAGCAATGTCTGTCACATGTTGTTAAGAGCAACTGTTAACACCTTCATGTTTTTAAATCAGACATTTTTGTTTTCAAAGAGCTATTGAGTACAGAATACTCATTTTGAAATCTACATATTGAAGGATATACTGAATTCAAATGGCTTGCCTATTCATTCTCTAATAAATTCCCATTAATAGCTAGTAGATTAGGACGTGATTGTCATGCTTGTTTTCTAATCTTTTTATAGATCTCCAGATGGCTGAAACATGAATTGAAACATCCTGTTTTACTTGGGAATAAACAATCTCTGCTTAAGTTTAAACTAAAAAGTTATGATTTTGCATGTATCTGGATCAGAATTATGCTATTCCATAAATTCAGATACATCAGTTGGCCACCAATATTAGAACATCTCTGATATTGAATAGAATATCTATTCATACTACTGCATAGTACATAAAGTAGTGGCCTACCACCAAATCCCTTTAAAATACTTGGTTTGTATGATTCTTATGTATGTAACCCACAGTCCCCTAACACAGCCAAGACTACCATTTTTTTTATAAAGTCATTTAATTTACACCCACTTGTGTAGTTCACATAAGGTTTCTGACTGCCTTACTTTCTAATAAAAGTACTATATTATTTCTTCTGTAACCCAAATTTCTCTTTATAGGCAGTTACAGATTATGCTAGTGTTAAGCTTGATATATGATATACAAAGGCTCCTTACAGGGGAAAGAACTGAACATACGGAAACTTAGATTTTCTGGAATTCTATCTATTGCATTGGGAGATATGCAATACACTGCAGGCCTGACATCAGTAAATTATATTCTGTTTTGATTTTGTACATCACTTTCATTTTCTGGAATGTAAATTTTAGAATTACCTTTGGTTGGTTAGATAGTCTATTCATTTTATGCTTCTTTGCAGTCTCATCTGAAAAACAGTCAAGAAAACAAATGATCACAGTTTATATATATGTATATACACATACAAATACGTATACATATACATATATATATAATCATATCTAGATATGGCTTCATTTAAAGTATTGCAATTACCATGAATCCTTAAAATGCCAAGAGAGTCCATAAAATCCCAGTACAGTGTAACCAGGGCCTCAGCATCCACAGGGTTAAATATGCTAATTTGCATTTAAATGGAGACATGCATGATAATGGGAATGCAAAATATGCAGAATCTGGAGGGGTTTAGGAAATTAATTTTTTCTTTCTCCTTTTATTTTTTAACTTGGAAGAGAGACTTAAGAAACATGAAGGATTTGAACCTTGCAATCTGCCATACAAAAAAGGAGAGAGAGTCCTTCTATGTAAAGATTTTAATACTAGACTACAATCTTATTTTCTAAATGTTTGAGGGATTGAATTCCAGGCCTTTCAAACAATAGGAATCCCTGGATAAATGTCTAATCCATTAGAAAGATGCAAATAGTTTACTGTAAAGCCACAGAACAGTGAGATGTGCATTCATATCTAGGTTCCTGATTGGCTCTTTCCTTCAGTAAATCAATGAATAATGTAAAACCCGATTGCTGTAAAGTGGTGGATTTTTAAAATTCCCTTCTCCCATCCCCCCAAGATCCAATATTCAGGAAGTCTTACACACTTGAATATAGATTGCTTTTATTATTTTTTAAATGCTTATTGTAGTCTGGATTGGTGGGGTGGGGCTATTGGTTTTGCAAAATGAAAGTACTGCACTAGTTCAATGATGTTGACTCTAGTAGCTCATTCCTGAAACAGAGCCCTAATTACTGGTGCCAAGGTGGAGAAGGAGGGTGGCAGGTAAATGTGGCACCAGGAGTGGGAGGAAACTGAATCCGACCCGTAGTTCTGGACCCAAGACAGCCAGAGCTCCAAAGAGGCCCCCCGGCCGTGGCCGTGACTTGACAGGGCCTCCGGTCTAACTTCTGATCAATTCCACCGCTGCCCTGACCCCTCGAGACAGTCCCCCATTCAAGCACTGCGGGTACATTTGCAAGAGAAAACGCCCGCAGACTCTAATGCAAACACATTGCTCAGGTTCCCAGCGCCCTGGGTTTCCGCAGATAATTCCAGGCCACAGGAAGGAGGTCTTGCCTTCCCCTACTGGATCTGGGCCCTGGGCAAACCGCTAAGACCTTGCTTCGCTAGGATGCCAGAAGCGTCAGAAGGAACCGCTCCAAGTCCCAATAACTAACCACGAAGGTTGCATCTTGATGAAGCTGAACTTGGGATAACCCTGTAAAGCGGCCTTTCGCCTCCCCAAATCCAAAAGGCAAAAAGAAAAAGGAAGAGGAAAGCCGTAATATCGAATTAGCTACTGTACTCAAGTTTTCCAACAGGATTGAAATCAGACCCTCGCTTCACTGCCGGGTAATTGTAACTTTGGGGCGTTAAAAGGAAGCGAATTATTCAACATGCGAACCCGGAATCCAGGAACGCAAAATACAATCGTATTCTCTATAGATTGAAGAGGGCAACGTCCCATCACCACACACACACACAAAATTACGTACAAATTTCCCTTTTACAATGTGAAATGTTCCTGGCATCTTTCTGCAATTGGGAGTCAGACCCGTGGATAATTAACCATCCTGGCTCAGACAACTCATAAGATCAACAGGTTTGGCATCAGAGGCACACAATCAATTAGCTGAAGCAAAGGCCCGGACTGGCGCTCGGAGCGGCCCGCGGCGGCCTCTGCGGGCACTGGCGAGCGGGCGAGGTGAGGTGTGCGGACTCTGGGCCGCGGCGGGCACTGCTGACACCGCGGGCGGAGCTGCAGCCTGAGGGCCGCCTTGATACTCACTTGATCTCCCTGCACCAGGCAGTGTTGACCCTCAAATCCAGCCGGACAGAAATCGAAGCGCCAGACAGAAGACAAGATCCAGTCACAGTGCAGCCGCAGCACACCAACAGGCTCCTTTCGGCGTCTCCAAAAAAAAAAAAAAAAAGTAAAAAAAAAAAAAAAAAAGAAGAAGAAAGGAAAAGGAAAAGAAAAAAAAATTCATATCATTCCTCTCCTAAACACATTTAAAACTGCCGCTCAATTCCACATAGTGATCCTTGCTTGATTGCGTCTAAAATAGTTTAAACAGGTCTTCCCTTCTGGGGAGAGCAGGGCGCAAAAAACCAAGAAGGATAAAAAGCCAACTTTTCCCCCCCACGCCAGGCACTTGCTCCCTGAGCCTCGGAGTGGAGAGTGAAGTGGTGTGTGCGAGGCTCGGCAAGTTTTTGGGGGGGCTGTCCAAGGTCTAGTCCAGCCCCCTCTGCCGAGGAGGACGTGCTCTGAAACTCAACCAATTTCCCCACTGCTTTTGTTACTGATGAACTGAAGCCCTATTGTTCATCCATTGCCACGGTCTTTTTCAGTCCCCACACTACGTTCTGCGTTGCCAGAGATAATGAATTTGCACCCAAACCTCTCATAGTCCCCTCCTGACAGACGGAACAAATTAGAAATGTCTCGTCTGAAGGAGGGCAATGGCTACATTTTCCTATTGTAGGATGCAAAGCACACATTTCTTTAGAAACTTCTTTTGCCTTTTCTACCTTTTATTATTTTTTCTTTTTCCCCCCCAATTTTCCCCTTGTTGGTTTCTTAAGACACATTTTTTTTTTTTTTTTTTTTAAGAATCGCCCAGTCTTGTTTTTCCAATGCAGCATTTTGTGTAACTTGCGGGCTTTTTACCTTCCTTCCTCTTTCCACTCCTTTAAGGGATCCCTTTGCAATTTTATTTACAAACTTGGAGAATGACCTTTTGACTTGCAGACTTTTTTTTTTTTAAAGAAAGGTCTTTTGGTTCAAGTCCCCTTCGCCTCTCCTCCCCCTTTTTGTTGTGGTTGTTAAAAGTGTTTGGCTAAAGACAAGCAATACATTATAAGGATTTTTATTCTCTAAACTCCTATGCTATTCAAAAGGTACCAACGACGCGCCATAGGGGTTATCTATTTGAGGAGGAAGAAAAAGCGTGTGTGTGTGTGTGTGTACACGCGCGCCCGCGCGCGCGTTCCTTTTCCAGGGACAGACAGAGATGTGGGAGGGTGGGGATGGAAGTGTGCCGAAAGGGTGGGGGTTTTCAGGGAGGGCTTCCTGTAACACTAACTGGAGGCCGTCAGGGGTGTGGGCGTGGGGGAGGGTGGCGGGAAAATGGTGCAGGAATCCATCCCGCTGACTGCTGTGCGCCCCCCTGGGCCCAGTTGCGCGCTCTGGGCCGGCCGAAGCCTACAGCGAGTGTTTGCACGCTGAGGCGGTTGTTCCGAGCTTGCGCGCGTGCGACCAGGGGCCGAAAGGTGGGGAGAAGGGAGGGAGCGCTGTAAAAATTCAGACAAGTAGCCCGTATGTAAATGCAGCCCGCGGTTGGGGGAAGCGAAAAGGTAGTAATGAGAGTGAGGTCGCAAGGCCCTACCGGCGGGCCCCCAGCTTTCCCGCCAAGTGCAGCGGGAGGACAGATACCCATGCGTGTCCTTGGCGGGATGGCCCCCTGCCCGCTGCGCGCACCCGTTCCTCGCGCACACGCACACACTCCCCTAGCAGGCGTGGGGCTCCGTGGCCACGAGCTCATTAAGAAAACAAAGCTGAGGCTGCAAGGTGGAACTAGAAAACTGCAGCCTTGGCGGCCGAGGGCAGGTCAACATCGCGGCATTTGGCGCCCCTTCCTAGACTGCCTGCGGCTTTAAACAAGGGACCAGAAGACGCAGAAGACCAGGTCTTAGCTACGTGGGTGGAAGAGGCTAGCGAACACAGGGAGGGGGCGAGTATGCACCAGGAATTACCAGCGGCCCCCGCCCGGTGCGCGGGCACGCTGACGCTGGCGCACGTCGCGCAAGGAGGGGAGCCGAAGGCCTCCTAGCTGCATCTCCAAGAGCCACTATCTCAGCGCCGAGACTGCCGAGCCCCTAGTGAAAAACACCAGGCCAAATTCATCAAGGCAGCGGTCTTGAAATAGCTCGCACTTCGAGTTTCCTTCCCCAGACAAAGCAGTAGGAATGAACCGGCTGTTCAAGGAAAGCCTTTTTGGGGCCTCCCCTTTCAATGGGGTGAACTCGAACCCCAGCCTAGAAACTCTGGCCTAGATATCTCCGCAGATAAGTCCCAGATGTGGCCTTGGAAAGATATATCATCTCACAGTGCATATCTCACCAACACAAGCACCTCCCAACACGTGAGCGCGCGCGCGCGCGCACACACACACACACACACACACACGCACGTATGACACTCCCATCACATTAAAACGCGCGCTCCTGGCACTGCTGTTACGAAGCCAACGCGCATAATGAGGTGAACAGGTAAATAGATGCCAAAACGAGACGCCCACACCAGTCGGCTGGGCAGTTTACCTCTCCCTACTGAGAACATGTGTAGCTTATAGTGTTTTAGGAGTGATTTGCTGTTGTCTGTTGTCTCCCCCTCCTCTTCTTGTGGAGAGAAGAAAAAAAAAATTAAATCATATTCCATTGTCAGAGTCTTCTTCCTGATAAGCTACCCAAGCAATGGTCTAAAACACTTGGGGATTCGTTTGGTTTGCTATCTGTTGTTTTCGTTTGTTGTTGGGGTGTGTTGTTCTTCTGAGTAGAGCAAAAGAATGTGTATGTGGTGGGGCTCTAGGCGCAGGACCAGAGTCCGCCGGCATGGCGGGAAGGCTGGCAAGGCTGTGAACCGCGCGATGCGGAAAGAAGGCAGCGGTTCGTCCTCCCCTGAGGCTGGTACCGGCCCTAATGGCACCTCGAGCCTGGTCTAAGTCACCGCTGCCGCCACCCGCGCTTGCGGGCTCCGCCGGCTGCCGCTCCGTGTTTTCCCCCATCCCGGCTTCACGTTCAAGGTTTAGCTGCGAGGTCACGTCCATTGACGTCAGCTCCCTGTCTGCCTCTACGTCCGGCTACATTTACATACATCAAGGAAATTAGGCCATTAAAAAAATATGCAAATCCTGCGCGAAGAGGAGCGAGTGCATTCCTGGCGCGATCGCCTTTTATTGAAGCTTTTAATTAAAGGGGCCGGTTGGCGAGCCCCTGAAACAACCGCCAAAACCCCCAAAAGAGAAAAATAAACGCTGTAGCCTTCGGGAACGGTTGTTTCGGCTCCTGTTCTGTGGGCGGCTGAGGACCGCCGGCTGCCCGGCTCGGAGAAGAACAGGTTAGAGGAGGCAGCTCCAGCCCATGCATAATCAGGGCTCCGCGGCGCCTCCATTCTTTCCTCCTCCTCCTCCTCCTCCTCCTCCTCCTCCTCCTCCTCTCCTCCTCCTCCTCCTCCTCCTCCTCTTCCTACACCCGCTCCTGTTGGTTCCAGCGTGTATTATTTTTAATACTGATGCATATGTAAAGATATATTTGCATTTTTAATTTGTGAAAATTTCAGGTTGTATCGTTTTATTGATTCCCCTCCCCCTTTTTGTTGCTATTTTGTTATGTCTATCTGTCGCTGTTGTCCCTGTCTGTATTTTTTTAGTTTTTTTTTTTTTTTTTGGCGAGTGTCTGCTGCTGTCTTTTGCTAGGTAATATACAACAGTTGCCTCCCTGCTTCTGTTTATTTAAGGTTACAGATATGCACATCTGTCATGTATGCAATGCCAGCTGTAGTTTGGTCATAAAAGAAAAGACACATTTTTTTTTTCTTTCCTGACATACCCCTCCATTGACTATAGGTCCCATCATTCAAAGCTCAAAGTTTGATTGTCTAATTAACTTCATATAGCAGAAATACAGTTCAGGACAGTGCATTTGAGATAATCTATTTATAAATGAAGTGATTTTAATGATTCTAAGGAATTTTTGTGCTGATTAGAGATGCGGTATTCACTGCCCTATTGCTTTCTAGCATTTATTATTTTTAAAATCTATTTTAAAATGTGTAGACACAGCAATGGACAGCCTTCTGCAAGGAAGACATTTTCAACCATGTTGTATGTTGTATCATATCTGCTGCATTCAAAATTTACCGAATTTCATTTTTATTTTAATATGGATGGAAGCACACTATCTTGACTGAAAAGCATCCTTAATTCCTGAGTTTGAAATGAAAACAAATACACAAACAAAACAGTTGACTATGTTAAGTCATTTGTTCTGCCCTAAAATATACAGGCCTTGAGTTGGATTTCAAGGAATAGTAGTCTCGTTTAGAGGATGGGATTTTCCTTCCTGGCAATATAGCTATTGAGCATGATGGCTTTTGTATGTGTATGTGTGTGTATGTATGTGTGTATGTATATATGCATATGCATATCACATTAAGAATTCCCCCAATGCTATCATATGAAAAGACCCAAATTCATAATTGCTTAGCCACAAAGAACAGAAAATATGCACACATGCAGCTTATTAAATTAGACAAGTCCAAGTACATGCACAGGTAATTAGTTTTCTTATGAATGACTTACCTGCACAGATACTCAGGGCAAGACTCAGCCCTCCCCAATGGCTTTTATGTGTAAATATTCACATGTATTTCCCCCATTTGAAACCTACAGCTGTATGCCATCTTTCATGCTGGACTCTCTAGCATCCATTTTTAGCCACCTTAATTCTAATGGCATTTCCAGCCTTACCTCAAGCTGTAGTTTTTCCAAGCCTACACCAAAGTGCTCATATGATATGTCACCCAATAAAAAGTGGTCAAATAGCTTCGTGTAAAACACTAAAAAATGGAAACACATTCATCTTTCACATTCGCCCTTACCTTGCCATCTATATATAGCAAAATTACATTTCCTAAAATATATTTTCAGCATATTTTGTGAATAATTGCAGGAGTCCACAACTGCTTACAGAATTACTGGTTTACTGGTGGGGCGGGGGGGAGGGGGTGCACCTGGCTCAGTGAAACAATTCAGCTGACTTAATGTCTCTCTGAGTTTGGCAACAATTAAATTGTGTGATGCTGTTTGTTCCTGCCCGGACTCTAGCATGTACCTGCCCGCCTCTATGCATGAGCAGGACAAACACACCGGCC